GCCAAGAAGCCTAGATTTCTAACAAAATAAACAATTACTTATTTGTCTGGAAAAAAAATCATTCTAAAATAATATTACAACATTAATGCAAATCTTCCAGTTATCAAATAAAGCTCAATTCTCCTAATACATCCTACTTGTGTATTTTTAGATGGCATTCCGCTAAGGATTTGCTAAAAATCTCTTTGCTCTAAACTCATTCATAATCTCTGACTCTTTGGCTCTGTACAGAGCTTTGGCTCATCTGTTCTCCTTTGCTTGCAGTTTGAGAGCTCTGGCATCAGAACAGCTGACAGACCAAGGCTCTAGAGGGGGTGCCTGGCAGCCACCAGGAAACAGGGGATCCGCCCACCGAGGTGATAGAGGGACCTCCAGCAGCGCAGCTGCCAACATTCTGCATGATGGTTGCATTTCCCCATCTACAATGGTTTAATACATGGGTATAACCCAGATTGGCACACATGATTTCTGGCTGAATTAGCCAATTCTGTCCCTGACATTTAATCTAGCAAACCCATGTTATTTTCACAGGTTTAGGAGATTTTTTCTTTTTCTTTTTAATTCTGTTCTTATCTTCCAAGATGTTTAATTTATGTTGCTCCTTTTTATGAGCTATAAGCTCTCCCTCCGTTTATAATATTCAACACTCCCCTCCCGAACTTTGACTGGTTCCGGGTCAAGAAACTACAAATTGGGAGAACCATTTTGATTTTTCTCTGAAAATCTTGATTCGTTGTCTCACTGGAGGATCAGATTCTCTACGATTAGCCAAGAACAGTAGCTATAAATTCAGTGTCTTAAGATTTTTGCCTGAACTCTTTTATGAATAAAAATTGCGACTTTGCTTCATATATATATTATTGTTGTCCTTATTTTCATTACAGACCAGAGTATAGATTTCCAAATTCTCAGAAGTCTTTGGAAAACACAACTACCAACTACCTTAACTCTATAGAAAATTCAAACTTCCCAAAGCCAAATGAGAATGTCATAAAAATACAACCAGATATACTTCAATAGAGTTTAAATAAAAAATACATAGGCCGGGCGCGGTGGCTCAAGCCTGTAATCCCAGCACTGTGGGAGGCCGAGGCGGGTGGATCACGAGGTCAAGAGATCGAGACCATCCTGGTCAACATGGTGAAACCCCGTCTCTACTAAAAATACAAAAAATTAGCTGGGCATGGTGGCGCGTGCCGGTAATCCCAGCGACTCAGGAGGCTGAGGCAGGAGAATTGCCTGAACCCAGGAGGCGGAGGTTGCAGTGAGCCGAGATCGCGCCATTGCACTCCACCTGGGTAACAAGAGCGAAACTCCGTCTCAAAAAAAAAAAGAAAAAGAAAAAGAAAAAAGAAAAAAAGAAAAATACATAAGCACCTGTAGTGTCAGCTACTCAGGAGGCTGAGGCAGGAGAATCGCTTGAACCCGGGAAGCAGAGGTTACAGTGAGCCAAGATGGTGCCACCGCACTCTAGCCTGGGCAACAGAGCAAGACTCCACCTCAAAAAAAAAAAAAAAAAAAAAAAAAAAAAAACCCCACAAAAAAAAAAAAAAAAAAAAAAAAAAAACAGGCCAGGCGCTGGAGCTCAGGCCTATAATTCCAGCACTTTGGGAGGCCAAGGTAGGCAGATCAGGATGTCAGGAATTTAAGACCAGCCTGGCCAATATGAGGAAACCCCATCTCTACTAAAAAATACAAAAAATAGCCAGGCATGGTGGTGCACACCTATAATCCCAGCTACTCAGGAGGCTGAGGCAGGAGAATCAATGGAACCCAGGAGGTGGAGGTTGCAGTGAGCCGAGATTACACTATTGCACTCCAGCCTGGGTAACAGAGCAAGACTCCATCTCAAAAAAAAAAGATAAGAAAAAAAAGAAAAAAGAAAGAAAAACCAAAAACATAAGTAAATATGTCCAATTATATGATGATTAATTTTTTATTGACAGGAAAGTGTATCAGATTATTTTACCTTCAACTATTGCCAGAAAGTTCAAGTGGAAACTTTTTTACAGAATCATACAGTTTCCAGACTACATGGATTCCAATAGAACCAGTTTGTAAAATACTCCAGTGTTTACAATTATAGTTCACATTTATGCAATAGCTAAATTTTAGTGTTAGCAAAGAAATCCAAATCCTTCCCTAATTTTATGATTTACTCTGAATTATATTCTTTGAATTTAAAAGGTGAATTGACATATCATCTGTTTCAATTATCAGGATTTTAATGCCTTTCTGAAGTTTTAAATGGCATTTAATTTAAAAATTCCAATTTTGGAATAAGTGTTTTAGGGGGCAAATGAGTTTTTAAATGAGTCATTAGCCAAAGAAAAGCCTGGGCCCTACCTTCTCATACACCCTGCCACAATCAACACCATGCACATCTTTGGAAGTTGGGCTTTTTGTTTTTAAGCAACATGTTGAGACCCACGCCTCATGCCCAAGTTTTTAATCAGTTCTTTAACCCGAGGCTTGCCCTTGTCAACCCAAAGTTAAACTTCTTCAGAGTTTAAACTCTTCTGGAAAAGTAAAGAAAGAAAGGAAGAAGGAAGGAAATATGGGCAGAGAAGGAAGAAAGGGAAGAAAGGAATAAGGCACAGAGAATTACTGGTTTAAAAACAGTTCAATTCATATACTTTTTGATCCCACACACAGACACCCAGAATCACCCAGTCTGTATGCCAAAAAATCAATAAAACATACTCCATAAAGATATTTTTAAATCCAGCACGTCAGACTTCTAACCATTTATAGTCCTCTCATTTGTTGGGAGGACAGCTTTCCAAGCAGACGATACCCTGATGTCTCTGAATATCAATTCTAATTTAATCTAATTTTAATTAGAACACTCCAAGCTCTTTGCAAATGGACAGATCTTTTTATTTGAAAAATAAAATAGAATTGAGTTGTTCATGTTACTTATATTTAAATTTCAGCATCTATTTGCTGCCATCAGCTAAACTGAAACACTTCATTTAAAACACTGGTGGCGACTCATGCCTGTAATCCCAGCACCTTGGGAGGCCAAGGCAGGCAGATCACTTGA